GATTCCATGAGAAGATGTGAACGAGAGAATGAGTGAACTATGAAATGAAGTGAGTACAAATATGAAACCCTAATTGGGTTGTACCCCCTATGGGATACCCCACTATAGCCTACAGAAAAGAGTAAGCTAAAATGTTCTGACATAGATTATACCTATCTTTTGTAACAATTATCCATAAATAGCCCCTCCTCTGGCATTGGTGTCCACTTCTCATGAAAGTAGACATGGCAATGGTGTCATAATGGTGGGGCGTTTTGCCCGAGAGGAGTTGTGATGTCGCTGTAATGATTACGCCGGCAGTCAGTTTTAGGGTACGCTTTGGGGTGTGAAACACTGTTCGAATTCCCGCCTAGTTTTCACGCGAGGGCGGGAAACTCAAGTCATCGCAGGGTTTTCGTTCGCGCTGGCGGGAATTCAACCTCATCGCACGGGGCTCGCAACAGTCGCATGGAGTTGTAGACCCTTTCCCGCCCATTTTCTCCCACCGTGGGAGAAATTTTACTGTCGGGGTCACCCTGCTATCGAACAGGACCTTAGTCATATCTTCGTTATTCATTATTCTGAGCACTCCCTTTTACAACTCATAACATTTTTTGTCGCTCGGACAGCTCGGCATGGGACTACACTGTCCCTGTGCGTCATTCCTTGTGCCTCGCGCCATCGAAAATCATGTTACGCGTCGAGTTTCACCGCTCCAATCCGCGAAGCGGAAACAACAGGCGAGACAGATACACCTGCCTTGTTAGGGCGTATCCAGGTTCAGGTCATGAGCACTTTTCCGGGCATGCGCAAATTGCGGATGACCCAAACTGCACATAACACCACTTCGCGGCCTTCGTGCGTGAGCGACCCGTAAACTGGCGCGCACGTTTCCCCGCCCAGAAAGCGACTCCCGTCAACCGTCGCACCCAATCGGGCCGGGCCAAACCACCACACACGAAACACTCCTACCGTCCCACGCGACACTCAACCCACTCACCACACCGTTAAAATTCCCGGCGGGAAAAGTCACATTCAGATATGCGCGGTTCCACAACGCCACCCAACCACCAAACTTGGCTACAATTTCGCACTCCTTTGGTTTCCGAGGCCCTAAGGTTACTCCACAAAGCATAGATCGCATCCAGAACTTCATACAAGCCCACCAAAACTCTCTCTACTCTCCCGCAACCTATCCCCAACTCACGTCCATAGTAGAGCAATGCCCCCACGCCGGAGCACGCGCGGCAAGGGGAAAGATAGATATAGCGACGATGAGCCTATGGAGGACCCACCGTATGACGCATGGATGAAAGAGCAGAAGAAGCAGGGGAAGCCGTCCCCGTCAATCAAGCATATGGCAAAGGCCAAGCGTGACTCCGCCGGCGCATCCACTAGCGGAGGTGCACGGCGTGACTACGACGATGGCGCCGACACTGACGTCAGCGACGACGATCTCGAAGAGATCGTCTCGGAATCAGACAGCGAAGCCGATTCCGACAACGACAAGGATGGGAGCGACGACGACGGCCAGGATGAGGACGGCGGCGAAGAGGCAAGCGGCGACGAACGCAGCACGCGCGCGTCGAAGAAGGACAAGCGCCCGCCTGCACTGCGCAATAAGCGGGTGTGGTCGGACGCCGAGCTGGCCATCCTTGCGGCCGCACGGTGGAACACAAAGGACGATTTGAAAGCGATGCAGGGCAAGCAAGGGAGTCAGTACTGGATGAAACTGCGTGCACACATCGTCGAAGGGGACGCCTCGTGGAACCGCGATGAGGGGCAGATGTCGAACGTGTGGAAACGCTTGGAGAAAAAGTACCTAAAAACGAAACGTGGTGAAGGGCAGAGCGGCGGGAAAGCAATCAAGAAAAAGCCGTGGTGGGAGTACGTGTATAATCTCAAGAAGCACTCGGCCAAGGCGAAGGCTCACGCACTGGACGGAGGAGGCGCCGCCACCGTGGACGTCCCTGCATACGCCCCGGTGCCCGGAACCACCGAGCGTGAGACGTCGGGCCCATCGACTCTGGAACTCCAACGCGGTGGCCGTCGGGCAAAGAGAACGCCAGGTTAGTGTTGGGTTGGAAAGGCAGTGTTCGTGGTCTAATGCCTAAGTATTACCGTGAGTCACTGCAATTGACCACTCTTGCATTATACTTCTCAACAAATACATGCAATCAAATAGCAACAAAGCCGCCTTATTACCAACTATGCCTACACCCTCCCCTACAGACGCTGGTGACACTCCGCCACCCAAACGAAGGCGGGTATACGAGACCGCCACTATGGTAGCAGCAAAGCTGGTGAGCGATGCCATCAACTCCACCAACGTGAACGTGGTGCGCCGGCTTCAAGACTCCACTCAGACGCTTGTCGCCGTCATGAACATGCGGCCCTTCAGGCTGGCGTGTGATTGCAGATGGCCACACCGCACGCATAACAGGCTGCGCCTCAGACGACGCCGGACCTCGCGCCACCTGTCGACGCTACCGACGCCAACATGGCGTTCACGGAGGAGGTGGCGGAGCAGCCCGAGCCTTAGCGCGTTGACCTCGGCAGACGGTGACGCCTGAGGTAAGCCCGATGGATGTGCTTGCCAAAGTGGTGTCGGCGCGCGCGCAGATCGGCAAGTGTTGGGTTGTCTAGGCTCGGCCAGTGATAACGATCCATGCCGCTCTTAGTCCACCAGCCGTTCGGGAGCCCTGCCCATATGTAGCGTCGGGGGTTGTGCGTTTTCATCCTTGGAGTACTGACGGTCTGCAACATGTTGTGCAGGATGATGATGCAGGCCGTTCCTGCACACACGCGCCAGAGCTTGCTCTCGTGCCTGCGTGAGAAGAGCCTCCAGCGCCCCTTCAGTGCGCCGATCGTGCGCTCAACGACCATCCTGGTCGCGGACTGGACGTAGTTGTACGTCTGCTCCCACTTCTTCATAAGGCGTCGACGTGGTGCGTGCAGGGGGGTGAGCATGTAGGACCTCAATGGGTATGCGGCGTCACCCACTAACTGATAGGGGGCGATTTCTCCACTCTCTAGCCTGCCATGCAGATCTGATGTAGAGAAAACACCTTGATCATGCATTGAGCCCGGATTGCCAACCGTGTAGTCCCAAATGACTCCCTTTGAATCACACGTGACCTGAAGTTGCACACTGTATACCGACTTCCTGTTGTAGTAGTCCCCACGGTGTGCCTCCATGCCGCGAATCTCAACATGTGTACCGTCAATCGCGCCAATCACGTTGGGGACTCCTTTGATGGCCTTGAAGTCCAGCGCCATCTCCTCCCGCACTTCTTCAGGAGGGAACTGCTCCCAGTCCCGCTTGAACTTGCGGGGAAACCAGACCCATAAGGCATCCACAAGGCGGTGGATGAGGCCCCTTGTCAGCCCAAACATTAGGCTCATGTCGTGGTAGGTTATGGCACTGGGAAAGTATTTGATCGGGATAAGACATCAGAGAGATAGTGGGACCTCGTTCACCTCCACAAAGCGCGACATTGGATGAGCCATTTTGTCAGCGATGAGGTCGAGTACTTCCCGCGTGATGCGGAAAGTGTCTTCAAACTCCTCGTCAAACATGGCGCGTATCTCCTCGACCCAATAGGCCACCCGTTCCTGGCGCTTGCGCTTCCGACTTTCGCGGCGGGCGGTTTCACGTCGCGCGTGCTCCCCATCCTCTGCCTGAGCCATATGGAGGATATTGGTTAACCACTCCAATGCGGCTAGAGATACTACACGCTACCAGGAGGTGAGGAGGTGCTCATGCCATAGGTGTAAGGCCACACACAGGATGAGAACCTGTGCGCTGACCATGGTTTATGGCCGCGCTGTAAAAGCCGAGAGGACGCGCTTAACGCATTAAGAGCCGTTGGCGCTCGCATTCTGTTCATTACTGGATCGCGCAGTTGCTGGGAGCGCGTTTGTTGTGGGCGTCTTGGCGTGGAGCGGCTGGTTTCTTGTATATGGGGATCCTTAGCGTAGCGCTCAAACTATGTGGAGTCTGTGTTGTGGCTCTGTAAAAAGTGTCACACAATTGTTACGGGGTTTTTTTACAAGTTTGGGAGGCGCAAATTTGACATTGACGGGCGTGAGTCAACTGAAGACGGTCGTCTACAGAGTGGTACTGAACATGGGGTCGCAGTGCATTATGATTGGTCGGGGGAACATTTTGACTGACGGTCGCATGCAGTTGGATGGATGACCCGAAGTTCGGACCGCGCGCGCCTCGACGCCCCACTTTGGGTCATGCGCTAATTGCGGATGCCCCAAACAGTAGAATGAACAGTGCTCATGACTGGAACCAAAGATACGCCCTTACACCGCTCTCGCAGCCGAAAGACGAGAACCATCACATATTCAGGGATGACTGTTGGCCCATGCACCAACCAACTTCTGTATTACCACAGCAACACCTGGAACGCCCAGTCCTTTCGCCACTCCCTGTCGCCGCCTCCACGGCTCCATCCACAGCGCCGCTCCCGGTGATCCTTTCATAGGCGAAAGCTTGCGACGTCGCATTTCTCTTCGCCGCGGCTCCTCGCGAACGGCGCCGTGCGGCGATGTTTACTACGGAAACCAGCGACGGGTCGATTCCTAGTACCGGGCTCGCGTGCGTGTTCGACGCGCATGCGCTTCGATGGCGGCACTTGAAGGTCGCCCTCGCAGGCCCTGGCAGCCACACCGACCCCGACGCCACCACCCGCCGCATCCGCCGGTGGATCGAGCCGTGCGGCCCGTCGCGCCCGCGACTGCGGTCCGCGGACGAGCTGCTGTGCCCGGCGACGGACGAGGAGACGCGCGGCGTGGAAACGATCGGAGCAGCCGAGCATTCCGTTGTGAGAAGCCGCCGGGACGCTCACTCCTCCCACTCGTCTGAAATCACCAGAGCACGGGCAGCAGCAGCACCGGCAGCTCCAGCACCGGCAGCAGCAGCAGCGGTAGCAGCAGCAGCGGCAGTAGCAGCAGCGGCGGCTGAAAGAGAGAGGCGGCGGCGTGCGGGTCCGTTTCTGGGCGACGAGGTGATGGGCGTGGAGCAGCTGATGGACGCGCTGCTGGGCACCATGAAGGAGTGGCATGACACATGCTTCCCGCGCCCTCGCCGCCCCGACCACGTGTACTACGACCCGTTCCCCTTCCCAGTCCTAGAGGACGAGATGGAGGTCAAACCCCTCTGGGACGCCCCGGTGGGGATCCATACGCGTTTAGAGCCGCTGCTGCTGTCGCAGGACCCGAAGCGCGTGACGGCCCTTCGCATGCTCGCCTGTAACAACTGCGAGTGGGACCTTGGGAAGCTGCTGCCAGTGGGGCGCTCGTGCGTGAATCTGCAGTCGCTCTCCGTTGGAGCGCTGCCAGATCTCGACTTCCATGGCCACAGCTGTTTGTATGACGAGATCTTGACGCAGCCCACGGTCTGGATTTGGCCGGAGGGTGCTCAGGTGGAACAGATGAATCAGCTTATAACGGGTTGCCCACACCTCCGCTCACTACACTTCCACCTCAATACCAACGAATACTTCACCATAAGGGAAGAGGTCTTTCCCCTCCTCTCCCGTCTCGAACACCTCTCCCTCCCTCTCGCCGACCTCCCACCTAACCTGCTTCCCCACCTCTCCTCCCTCCGCTCCCTCCGTCTCTCCCTCTCCGCGCCCCAGCACCCCCTCCTCCTCTCCGGTCGCCCCTTCCACTCTCTCCCCCTCCTCTCCCTCCTCCACCTCTCCCTCCTCTCTCCCACCTCACTCCTTTCCGAGCCTCTCTCACCGGACCTGTTTGCGGGGCTTGGGCCGAGCCTGCGGTCCTTGACTTTCCTGGTGTATGCGAAGCCGAAAGGAGCGGGCGGGGGAGGGGATGGTGGGGAAGGGGGGATGGGGAGGAGTGAGGACGAGGAGGAGGGCGGATGGGTGGGGGATGAGTGGGCGAGGGAGGACGAGGTGGTGGGGTGGTTGCCTGCGTCGCTCTGGTCGCTCACACGCCTGCAGCACCTGAGCACCAACGTGGGAGGCGCGTGGGACTGCACTGGACTCAACACCCTCTTCCCACCCCACGCCTCGCACTCCATCCCCTCCTCTTCCTGTTCCTGCTGCTGTTGCTGTTGCTCCTCCTCCTCCTCCTACGACCCCGACCCTTCCTCACACCAGCACGAGCACCACCACCATCAGTGCCTCTCTTCCTTCCCTAGCCTCACCTCTCTCTCCCTCCTCTCTCACCGCACCTTCCCTCCCTGCCTCTCCTCCCTCTCCTCCCTCACTCTCCTCTCCATACCCCTCGCCTCCCCTCTCCTTTCCCCCGGTTCTCTCACTCTCTTCTCCCACTGGCCCCGCTTGTCCCATCTCCACGTGAATGGTGAGGGGCCTGCCGAACCAGTCTTCTACCGCACCAAGCCTGGTCCCACCGAACCTGCAACTAGTCTTACGGAACCTCCCTCTTACCCCGAATCGGCTCCTTCCTCCGGCTCCCTCCGCCACCTTACTCTCACGGGGACAGCTGGCGTCATCCCATTGGCTGTGTGGGGGCGCCTGTGCCCGCAGCTGCTCTCGCTCAAGATCCAGGGCTCGCCCCACGTGGCTGTGCGGGGGTGGGGGGAGCAGCTGGCGGAGGGTTCTGGGGAGATGGGCGCGCCGCATGGCGCATGTGGTGAGGGGGAGGGCGCATGTGGCGAGGGGGAGGGCGCATGCGGTGAGGGGGAGGGCGCATGCGGTGAGGGGGAGGGCGCATGCGGTGAGGGGGAGGGCGCATGCGGTGAGGGGGAGGGCGCATGCGGTGAGGGGGAGGGCGCATGTGGTGAGGGGGAGGGCGCATGTGGTGAGGGGGAGGGCGCATGTGGTGAGGGGGAGGGCGCATGCGGTGCAGCAGAGAAGGCAGCTCGGTGCCTCTTCCCTTCCCTCGAGGAGCTTGTGCTGCGCAACGTGACCAGCCATGCATCGCAGCATACAGGGAGAGAGCAGACAGGCCCACAGCAGCAGCAGCAGCAGCAGCAGCAGCAGCAGCAGCAGCAGCAGCAGCAGCAGCAGCAGCAGCAGCAGCAGCAGCAGCAGCAGCAGCAGCAGCAGCAGCAGCAGCAGCAGCAGCAGCAGCAGCAGCAGCAGCAGCAGCAGCAGCAGCAGCAGCAGCAGCAGCAGCAGCAGCAGCAGCAGCAGCAGCAGCAGCAGCAGCAGCAGCAGCAGCAGCAGCAGCAGCAGCAGCAGCAGCAGCAGCAGCAGCAGCAGCAGCAGCAGCAGCAGCAGCAGCAGCAGCAGCAGAGGAGGAGGAGACAGCAGCAGCATAGTCTTGAATTGATGGGCGTGCTGCCGCGCCTCACCCACCTGGCAATCGACCACACCCACTCGCTTTCAGACCCCCCCACCCCAACGCACGCCCCCACCATCCTCCCGCCCCTCCTCCCCAACCTCACCTTCCTCCGCATCCACTCTCCCCCACCCGACCCCCTCCCCGTGCTGCCGCACCTGCGCACGCTGATAGTGGGGTCGTACCCTCACTCCTCGCGCTTCCTCTCCTCGCTCTCCCTCTTCCCCGCCCTCACTGCCCTCCGCATCTTCAACCTATCCATGCACAACTACCAGTCCGCCCTCTCCTGCCCTCCCTCACTCAAATCTCTCCAAATCTGCTTCTCCCACCTTCCTCTCCTCCCCGACTCCCTCCGCCTCTTCTCCTCCCTCACTCGCCTCGACCTCTTCCAGTGTTCCAAGCCCCTCGCCCTGCCCGCCTGCCTCTCTGCCTTCTCCTCGCTCGCCCACGCGTCCTTTGGCCGCGACTACGACCCTGTGCTGCCCTGCCGCCTCCAGGAGTACCTCCGGGGGAAAACCTGGGAGCGGGAGGAAGCAGGGGAAGGGGGAGCGGAAGGGGAAGGGGGGTGGGAAGGGAAGGGAGAAGGAGAGGGAGAGGGGGAGGAGGAGGAGGAGGGAGAGGGGGAGGAGGAGGGGGAGGAGGAGGAAGGGGTGGGGGAGGTGGAGGTGAGAGGCTCGCCAAATAATGCGAGTGCCACGAATCCTGATTCGCACAACCAATCGCAGTTACCAGCAGAGGCAGTACCAGCAGAGGTGCTGGAATGTGTGTTCCAGCGGCTTCAGCTGTGTGGGGACGAGGCGAGAGTGAGAGGAGTGTGCCGCGAGTGGCGCCAGTGGTGCCGCCTGCACACCTCCTTCTTCGCCCTCGCCTTCCACCCCCTCCTGCTCTCCTGCCTCCCCCTCGCCCTGCTCCACTCCCCTCCCACTCCGAGCCCAGACTCCAGAGGCTGCAGCAGGAGAAGCGGCCATGAGATGGCAGCTCAGGCCAGCTCCCTTTCGTGCCTCTCATGGCACCCCGCCTTCTCTCCCTTCTGCGTCCTCCTCTCCTCCCCCACCTCCCACACCTTCTCCCTGCTCCCCTCCTGCCCGCCTCCCCTCACCCTCCCCCATGCCATCACCCCCTCCTCCCTCGCCTCCTGCTTCACCCGCCACTATGAAACCGAATGGACCTCAGCATTCCCCCCCATCTGGTTAGCCTCTCTCCCCTCCCCCTCCTCCCTCGCCCACACCCTCACGCTCTACCCCAACCTCTCTGCGCTCCTCCTCCCCATAGTCTCCACCGCCACTCACCCCCTCCACCCCTCCCATGTGCGCTCCCTCCTCTCTGCTGCCGCCGCCCTGCCCGCCCTCACCTCCTTCTCCGTGCTGCTCGAGCCGGGCTTCAGGGGAGAAGGCGACTGGGGGTACGGGCGGGACGAGCTGTGGGAGATTCCTGAGGAGGAGAGGAAGCGGGAGGTGCGGCAATGGTGGGGGGAGACGAGCAGGGAGGTGGAGAGCGGGCTGGTGGCGGTGCTGACGGGGTGCCACGGTCTCAAAGAGCTGCGCATTCAGGGGGAGAACGCCGCCCACCGCCTCAAACTTCCTCCGTCTCTCTTCCTCCTCTGCACGCATCTCTCCACTCTCTCCCTCCCTCTCTCTCGCCTCCCCACCTCCCTCCTCCTCCTCACTCGCCTCACCTCCCTCTCCCTCGCCCTCCCTGTGGGTTTCATGCCTCCCCAGTTCGCCCACTCCTCGCCCTTGGCCCGCCTGTCCTCCCTGCGCTCCCTCTCACTCCATGTCTGTGAGCATGACATCAGCTGCAGCGGCGTGTCTGAGGATAACAGCAGCTGGAGTGGGCTCTCTCAGGACCTGCTGCTGGGCCTGCCGCCATGCCTCTCCTCCCTCTCCCTGCACCTCCCCACCGCCACCATGCCCGCCTCCTTCTCCTCCCTCACTGCCCTTACGCTCCTCGCCACCAACCTCTGGATTCCGGGGCTGGAGGGAAAGGAGGAAGAGGGAGACGGAGGGGTGGGAGAGGAGGAGTGGGAGGGGGAGAGATGGGAGGACGAGGCAGAGGAGGAGAGTGGTATGGGCGAGGGAGATGAGGATGGTTGGTGTGATGACCATGATCATGCTGATCGCTGCCCCAATCAACTTCACAACTCAGCCGGTGCTTCAAGCATTCACGACAACACACTGCTGCCTCTCTGCAACCTCACTTCCCTTACTCTCTCCGGCTGCCGCTTTTTCCCGCCGCTCATTCGACACCTCACTCGCCTCACATCCCTCTCCCTCGGATCTATCAACGCCTATGATGAAACCTCCTGCACCCGTTTCTGCTCGCTCCACCACGGTCTCTCTCTCCTCACTCGCCTGCGCGACCTCTCCCTCTGCTGCGACAACTTCTCCCGAGAGCGCCTCCCCCACTTGCCCCGCCTCCGCCGCCTCCACGTGCAGAACTACTGGCGCAACAGTAAGACCGTCGACATGACCCGGGTGATGGCTGCTGTGGCGCACTCCTTGGAGCAGCTGCACATTGTGTTTGACTCGGGCACGTGCGCCCGTCTGTGCAGGAGAGGAAGCACCATAGAGTTGAGCTTCCGGAAGCTCAAGCTGCTGCACCTGGAGGACTCAACGGACGATGCTTGGGTGGACATGTGTCTCTTCCCTGTCCTAGAACACATGGCACTGCCATACAAGGCCAGTGTGTTCTGGGAGATGGAGAGTGGTTTCTCATCTAACCTGCGCTTCCTGCGACTAGGTGCTGTTAGACTGCCTAAAGAGCTCGGTCACCAAGAGCATGAGCTGATGCAGCTCACGGCGCTCACCACTCTCATTGTGGACGAAGCTGACTTCCGGGATTTCCTTGCAGCACTCTCCTGCTTCTCCTCCCTGCGCACTCTCCGCCTCTCCAACATCACCAGAGGCTGCTCTGAACCCTACTTCACCTGCCCGCCTCTCCTCTCCACACTTCAGATTTGCTTCTCTGACCTGCCCCGCCTCCCCCCCTCACTCGCTCACTTCTCCCGCCTCACCCGCCTCGACCTGCTGCACTGGCGCCGCCTGCACTCTCTCCCGCTCTTCCTCTCGTCCTTCTCGTCGCTGCGCCACTTGAGAGTCACGAGCGATGGGCCCAAGCCCACACACCCTGCTTGCTTGAGAGGTTTTCTTCAAGGCAGGGACTGGTACGAGCATTCGCCATGCGACGGCATGAATTGGTATCGGGTCGAGCATTTATTACATGTCTCCCCCATAGGGGTGCGCATCGAGTAAATTTCATAAGCGCGTGCACTTCATGGCAAATGCAAATTTATATTTCTTCATTTCAATTGTTGGGCTGAGTGCCCCTTAGGATCTTTGGTAGGATTAATCTCTGGGTAGAGAGATGTAGTAGCGGAAGCATTAATTAAGAAATTCTGAACCACCTTGCGCTAGTATGTGAGGGCAAAGTTGCTGGGCTGAGACGCCCTAGGATCTTTGTAGAGTTAAAGTGATGAGTAAAGTGATGTAATAGCGGAAGCGTTTGAATAAAGTCCTTGAACCACCTTGCGCTAGTATGTGAGGGCAAAGTAAGTTGATTAAAGCAAAGAGATACAGGAATATATATATGAGTACAGAGAATATGAAGAGATATAATTGTAACTGTTTTACTGTTGCGGTTCGATACAGTGCGACTCGGGCAACAGCTCAATGTCGAGTCAGTTGTGTGTCCTTGCTGTCGCGCTGCGTCAGGTCAAAGGTCGCTGACCTTTGACTTTCTCGTAACCTCCAGCGGTTACGTTAACCTCCGAGGGTTGACTCGCGGTGCTTCGATTTTAGCTGCTTCGCTTGTGTCTTGAGTTTCGACACGACAGAGGCGCTTTAAGACTATTTGTTCCCAACACCCCCCTTCGCTTCTGGAGTGTCGCTGATGGTGACGTGGCTTTGTCCAGTCAGCAGCATGCAGTACTCGAACTTCTGCTTTCCGAGCTTCTTGGTCAAGTAGTCAGCTGCCATCTCAGACGTGGGACAGTAGGATAGTTGGAGTTTCCCTTTCTCTATCTCGTCTTTCACGAAGAAATATCGCAGGGCGATATGCTTCGTTCTGTTCGCGAATCCGCTCTTGTTGGCGATGCGAATCGCAGATTGGTTGTCGCAGAACAGAGTGAAGTTGGGTAACTCGGCTAACTTCGCTTCTTCCAGCAGCTCGCGAAGATAGAGTCCTTCCTTGGTGGCTGAGCAGAGTGCGATATGTTCTGCTTCAGCTGAGGAGAGAGCGATTAGTTCCTGCTTGCTCGATTGCCAGGAGATAGGTCCGATAGGTTCGAGGCGATAGATGTAGCCAGTGCGGGAGCGTCTGTTGTCTGAATCGCCGGCGTGATCGGCATCGACGTAGCCGATTATTTTCGTCGGTGTAGTTTTACTCTTGTAGTATGTCAGGCCGATCGTCGAGGTGCTCACGAAGTAGTGGAGAGCGCGGTCGAGTTCCGCCACGTGTTCTGTTTCGGGCCTTTTGAGATAGGTAGCAAGTTGACTTGCGGAGTAGGACAGATCTGGGCGGCAGGTGACGGCTGCGAAGAGAAGGCAGCCCAGCTTCCTCTGGTAGTCGCATATTCCGGCGGTTTTGAGTGGGGCGGGACCTCCTTTGTCGTTCCCTGCCGTGTAGCGGTATGGCGTGGAGATAGTAGTAGGTGTGAGCGCGAAGCGTTTGGCGATAGTGTCGGCGTACTTTTCAGCGTTGAGGTAGATCGCGTTCTCTTCTTTGCGGATGTTGAGTCCGAGGTACTGAGTGATAGTAGAGGAGACCATGAGTGTGAGGTCCCTTTGTAGCTCCCCTTCGAACCAGGTGGTGATGTCGTCAGTGGAGCCAATCTAGAGTAGGTCGTCGACGTAGACGATCAGCAGGATATAGTCGGCGTTTTTGGTGAGTCGATACATCCCTTGGTCGTGGGGAAGTTGGCGGAATCCGATGCGAGTGAGGCGAGTGTGTAGGTGCTGTTGCCACATCCGCGGGGCTTGTTTGATTCCGTAGAGCGATTTCAGTAGCTGGAAAACTTGGTTAGGTTCCCCGTGGGTACCGTGTGGGAGCTCGATGAAGATTTCGGCGTCGACGGGTGTGTAGAGGAACGCGTTGGCGACATCGATTTGTCGCAGTTTCTTCTTCTTCATAGCGGCGATCGCAAGAAGAATTAGGAGTGAGGTATGTCGGCTGACCGGGGCGAATGTCTCGGTGAAGTCCCGTCCGTGTTCCTGGTCGAATCCACGCACGACCCAGCGTGCTTTGAATTTCTCGATTGTGCCGTCTGCCTTTGTTTTAATGCGGAAGACCCATTTCCCGGTGAGGATGGTCTTGTTCCTTGCCACGCTTACGGGAACGACTTTCCAGGTGTTGCGTTCCTCCAGCGCCTTTAACTCTCTGTCCATGGCTTCACGCCATTTCTCCCTGTGTTTCCCCCCCAGAGCCTGCTGAACTGTCGCAGGCTCTTTACGAAGAGCATTGCCGTGGACTGCGATGACTAGGCCGAGAATCTGCAGTCCAGTCTGTGAGTAGCGGGGGAGAGTTGTGTCCTCGGGATAAGCTGCTTCATCTCCCGCTTCTGGGTCGGGTATGAAATTCGGCCCTATCCGTTCCGCTTCGTTGGTGTTGACTGTCGCAGGTGTTACGTAACCATTGTCGGCGAAGTGGTAGAAGACAGAAAGCGTTGGCGCTTTCGCGAGGATTTTCTTCGTCCATGGGGACGTTGACGGAGCAGAACGGGAGAGGTTCGGCTTCTTCTGATGCGTTGTCGACGTTCTGCTCGTCCCAGTCTGCTTCGTCCGCTGCTGAGGCGAAGGCTTTATCACCACGAAAGCCACCTGTGGGGTCCTGATTTTCGTGCAAGTTGGCGAGGTACGTCTGAAGCGTGAGTCGTTCGTAGAAGATCACGTCACGTGCTGCTACTGTTTCCTTGGAGTGGACGTCGAAGATTTTCCACGCGTTGTAATTCTTTTCAATGCCGAGGTGTAGTCCCCATTTTGCGCGTTGTGAAAATCTTCCCGCTCGTGCTTCTGGGGGTCGGTACTGTACCATGCACCCGAAAACTCGTAACATTTTGGTGCTGCCCTGTTTCCCTGTCCACAGCAGATGCGGTGATGCGTTGTTCGGAAGTGAGGACGACGATATCAAGTTGTGCAGCATGACAGCATGGTCCATTGCTGCAGGCCACTGGTGGTTGGGTAGCCGCATGCCACGTAGCAGTTTGCGCAGGCTGTTTTGCAGAGTCCTGTTCATTCTTTTTGCGACACCTTGCTACTGATGAGCGTAGGGAAGGGAGAGAAGTTGCTTGATTCCTCTTTCCCTCAGGTACTGCTTGAATCGCTGAGAGGTGTATTCTCCTCCTCCGTCTGACTGGAAGCTTTTCAGCTGTGCTCCCGACTCTCTCTCTGCTACTGGTAGCCAGGCGGCAAACGCTGCGAGTGCCATGTCGCGGCTGGGTAGGTTTAGGTGCCAGACGTATCGAGTAGCGGCGTCGATGAAGGTTATCGTGTAGTTGTAAGTAACTTGTCCTGGTTCTCGATTGAAGAGAATATCGCTGTACACCTTCTCGAGTGGTGCGTACGCGGGTGTGCTCGGGTTGTGGTGAGAAGTAAACGGTCGATGTGGTAAGTCGGCTTCGGGGCAGGTGAGGCAAGTTCCTCGTGCCCGTTGAAGTTCTCTGCCGTCGGGTAGTAGTAATGAATCCTTGTCTAGGACTCCTGCTCTTATTGTATTATTTAACATGGTGTTGCTTGGATGTCCCATGCTTGCGTGCCAGATGTCTTCGGAGGCGCGGTGTCCGGGTGAGCGTTTAAACGCATCGGAGTTGGAGTAGAAGCTGGCGACGAAGTTTGCGCTTCTGTGGACTTCTCGTTGAGTTGGGTTCAGCTGCTGTGCGAGTGTTGGTGGTGCTTCGTTAACGAGAACTGGTGTCACTGACGATGGTTCTGCTACTGCCGATGATGTTTCTGCTGCTTCTGCTGCTGCCGATGTTGTTTCTGCTGCTTCTGCTGCTGCCGGATGTTGAATCGTTGCTAATGCGCGTGTTCGTTCTGCTTCAGGGATGGTATGCGAGTACCAGAAGCCTTCCGGGCTGAAGTCTGGGTCAAGATCTGGAGGGTGCGTCCAGTCGGCGAAGTTCACGATGGCGTCGCTGTCTGCGGTGCCCAGGTCTGGGACGAAGTCAAGGACGAAGACGTTGTTCTTCAGGACCGCCTTTCCGATGTAGAGGCCGCCCTTCCCGTGGTATAATTTGAACTCTTGGGTGGTACTGTCGGCTTCCAAGTGAATGCCTTTCGCCATCAACTGGCTGACGCTCAGTAAGTTGTAGCCGAGTCCCTCCGCGATTAGTACTTTTGACATATGCAGTATAACATTTGTCTCTCGTGACTGAAGTTGTACTACTCCTTGTCGTCGTGTGCGCAGATTCTGGTTGTTGGCGGGTGTGATGACGACCTCTCGTTGAAGTCGGTGTTCGCGTTGAACGAAACGTCCTGAGGAGCACATGTGTTGTCCGCAGCAACTGTCCAAGAACCAAGTGTCTTTTCCGGACGGTTCGCTTTGAGCGATGGCAGCGTACGTCGGGTTCGGTTGAAGTGACTCGCGGCGAGGCGTGCTGTTGTCGAGTTGTTCTTCTGGTGAGTAGTATGGTGGTGACTCGGTTGTGCAGGAATCTGTTATTTTCACCATACAAATGACGATGTTTCTTGCTCCTTATACAGGTTGTCCTGTTGGAGTCGTTGAAGCTTGGACTGAAGTTGTCGGGTTTGCTTGCGTTGAAGTGACTTGGGAGCTTGAAGGTCGAAGTTGTCGCTGTGGTGTTGTCGATTGCTGGCGATACGGGCAGTGCGTACGAGGATGCCCTGAAGTCTTGCAGATGTGGCAGAACGGAGCTATTGGCTTCACTTGTTGTTGCCGGTTGTTGTTGTTGTTGTAGCGTTGCTGAGTGTGAAATGCGAACTCTGGTACTGACGTTTTCTTCTTGTGTCGTTCTTCTTACAGGTCCATGTTCTTGCTGCTCGACATGGATTTCGGCGCAGAGTGCTTCTTCGGAGATTCTCCCGTGTGCTCGTAGTATGGCGCGATTGGAGCGCCAGTGAGGGCCAAGACCACCGATGACGACCATGACGAAGGCGTCTTCTGAGATCGATCCTCCACATCGAAGAAGATTGTCGCACAGTTCGCGGCAGCGAGTGATATATGCCATGCCCTTCTCGCCTGGTTTCATTTCGATTGTTGTCAGCTGCGCCATTAACCGGCTTTGGTTTACACTGTCTGT